TAAAAGGGTAAATATGATATGAAAACGGCACTGGTTAGCAACATGTTTATATATGTAAAAATGCACGAGCACATAGGAGTTCATAATGTTGTTAGTAAAACAAACTTTAAAAAATGATATTTTATTGACATGAGGGCAATTGATTAATATTTTATATTCCGCATTCGCCTCTGAAGGGCAATTGATTAATATTTTATATTCCGCATTCGCATCTGAAGTTACAGCCGCAATTGTTTAACGAAACTGCAAAAAATAAAATGCTTCAAATGTGGACATCATATGACTTAACACATATAGAAAATTAAATAAATACTCAATTTGCATTGCACTTCAGCCTTATCAGCATACACCTTAAATAGCACCCAGCAAACTAAAAGTAGCTTTCAATTATAAATGTTATATGTATGTAGATGATTTTTCAGTTTCACTTTAGCAACTACTTGACTACTAATGACTTTGCATTCTTTTCAAGCTAAACTAGTTTGCTTTAGCATAACCTTATTGTTTGTTGGGTAGGAGTGTATATGATTTTTATACGGGGTTTATATACCCTGAGCACGATATATTGGGAGGTTATATCCACTTGCAAGTAAAAAAAACGAATTTTTTGAAATTGCCATTTTATTTAATAAATAAATAAAAAAATGTACCTTTACAAAATTTGTTGCACTGTAATAATTCATTTCGAAAAATTTATGATTCCTTTGATACCGTAACCGATCGGCAGAAGGACCTCGAAAAAAGATGTCTGGCGGTGAGAAAGGATATTCTTTTTAAAATTCTCTCAAATCCAAACTTCAAAAATTTATAATTACTGTAGATGAATGCAGGTAATAATCGAACTAGTAAAAATTTTTAACAAGTAAGGAAGGGCTAAATTCGGGTGTAACCGAACATTTTATACTCTTGCAACTTGCAAGAATCAAAGCCTGGGAAATTCCTTCTAGTTGGCTGGCAAAACTTTATGTTAAAAAATTTTGCAAAAGCATTAAACATCCATTATTCGATGAAATCGTGTTTGAATTATAATCGAATTCGTTATCTTCTTGACTTATATTGATGATCATTAACTTAGACTTAATTTTATTTCTATATTTTAGTTCGCGTCAGCTAAAATTACATTATAAACACCTTCAAATGAGATATATATATGTTATATTAATTCGACCGAAGAGACTTAATTTAATATATATTGAGTTGATGTGGAAAACGTCAACCAGAGAATCGGAATTCATTATATTAGGGATATGAATTATAATTCAGCGCTAAACCATATAATTTTAAAGAAAATTTGTCCATTTACTTTAATTAAATTATCACACATTTTGAGCCTGAACGATTTAAATATAGGTGAAAAGACAAAAATCATTTTATGGGGTATATTTGGGAACATATTTTTAAACAATTTTATATATAAATAATACTCACTGACCGATATTCAGCATAAAACTTGTTAAAATATTGAAACTCAATAATATATGGGAGTTGGGTGGTAGTATTGACCCGATTTGGTCTATTTTTTTGCCAATACGAATAGTACTAACATGCCACAGAGTAATAAAATGCTCCCACTGTTTCATTAAGGTATCTCACATACCATCACCTATATATACTATACATATATCTACATATATGAAGTAAAGTCAGCCGGATGTTCGAAAATTCTGATATTAGTTATAGAGGGGCTAGGTCAAGTTTTCACCCAATTTTATTCACTTTAAGCACAAAGTTATACTGTTATTATAAAAACCCGCTCTATCGTTTTTTTTTTAGATAACTCGTATATTGGCCAATATATGTGGTATAAAGTCATCCGGAAGTTCGAAAATCTTTATATTAGATATATGGGGGCTAAGGGAAGTATTGATCTGATTCAACATATTTTCGACATTCAGACATACTATTTTCAAGAAAGGATAATTTCCGAATTTCAATTATATATCTCACACATTTACCGATATTTTCGGTAAAAAGTCGGCGCAGTTATGACACTTTATACGATTTCGATTAATGGCGGTTTGTGGGCGTGGTAGTGGTCAGATTACGTCCATCTCCATTTTTGCCAAGGAACGTGTGTACCAAATTTCATCATAATATCTTACTTTTTACTCAAGTTACAGCTTGAAAAGACAGACGGACGGACGAATGAATGGACAGACAGTCACCCGGATTTCCACTCATCTCGTCATCCTGATTATATATATATATATATATATATATATCACCCTATATCTTTCTCCATTAGTTTAAGGTAATACAAACAATCATTAGGTGAACAAAACTATTATACTCTGTAGCCACATGTTGCAAGAGAGTAAAAAGTACAAAAAGGTTGTGTGAAGCCTTTAAGTCGATCGTTCCAGCCGTTTCGGAACAATTTACCTTACCGATTCTGTAAACAGCGTATCGACAAAAACGCGTTTATAGTTTTAGAAGCCGATAAAAATTTGTGCGTGTTAAAAAATGTGTGCAAATACGGTAATATCTCCAAAACTATTTGCGGGATAAGTTTCAAATTGTTTGAGAATATTCTCAAGTATACAATGTACATTCGATATATATAGTATGTATATGAAAAAATAAATTTCTTGCAATCTACAAATGGGTATAACCCCTTAGATATCTTACAAAGTCCCAGAAGGAAACGTCAGCGTGACGAGCTGAGCTAGTCTCTCAGTTTTTGATATATCGATCTGAAATTTTGTACAGTTCCTTTTAACCCCAAAAAGCTGCTCATTTGTCGGAAACGTCTATATTGGACCAGTATAGCATATAGCTGCCATACAAACTGAACGATTGGAATCAAGTTATTTTTATGATAAAATTCTTTATTTTACAAGATATCTACACAAAATTTGGCATGGATTTTATTCCAAGACAAAGCTATAATCTGCGAATATATTGCTTAGATCGGACTATTAGATCATATATCTGCCATACAAACTGACCGAAATCAAAAAATCAAAATCAAGCTAAAGATGTTTTCATAAACTTTTATGCCCTAATAAATGCACCTGTGAAGGGTATAATACCTGTGGTGCAGACGAAGTTAACGTTTTTTCTCGTTTTATTTCAAAATCATTATCAACGTGTGCATCATTTAAACTACATACAATCAATAACAGTGTCGAGCGCATGCCGTTGTGTCAATCTCAACTTGTTTTTAGTTTTGCAATAACTTTAGTTAGTTTCTTAGCAAATTTATTTTTTTTTTTTTTTATAATACACGTGTAAAAAGTAAATCTATTTTTGATAGATTAAAGTTTTTTGAACTTTCATTTAACAAGGTTATCATTTAACCAAATAAGAACCGCAAAACTGTAATTCACCTTTAAACAAAACTTCATCATCTGACTGTTAGAAATTTACAGCATTACCCTACAAGCGTAATGTCAGAGAGCAATACTGAAGTGAATCACAACTAAAGCAGTTAAATCGTTATATTATATATAATATTTAAAAAAAAATTTGTTTGTAGTCGAGTAGCAATTACGGCGTGTGCTTCTATTTTATATAAAGTAAAGACATACATATAAAGTAAACGATTTTCATGCAACAATATCAACCACGCATGATTCATAACCGATGATCCGATATTTTTATTTTCAATTCAATATAGACTCCAAAGCCTAAAGATCAAGGAAATGCCAATTATTTCTGAAAACAAATTCCATAACCGATTTTATTAATTGCGTTCAGTCGTTTTTCCAATTAGAATTTCATTAAATTCGTAGTACTTATTTAAAGACAATATTTTACAATACTAAGTCTTAAAAATTTAAGAATCTTTCGTTCGGGGGATAAGATCAATTCATATGTACATCATAAATACGAGGAAAACTATAAAAAATCGAGTATTTCAAGAATCGATTGATACATGCCTACAAATATAACATCTATAAAAATTAATTTTCGGATAAAAAATTACTCAGAGTTCTACATTGCTCAAATTCTAAAGATGTGGTGAAATTCGAGCAAGAAATATGAAAACAGACCATCCATATATGTGTGTGTCCTGGAAATCACTAAATCAATTATACAAAATTACTTTTGTAAAATATTAAGATATATAATAAAATAGGAAAAAGAAATAAAGACATTGAACCCATCGTTGTAATCTTATTTATAATTACTTTGTCTTTATCTTAATTACAATTAGATATGAATTACACCTGTTATGTTCGACTTGGTTCATGATAGGAAAATTAAATTTTACCTAGATCAAAGGCAAGGGACAACGAAAATTAGTACGAATCTGGGTTTTTTCATACATTGGTTGCGTGGCCAGGCAATCAAGTTAAGTCTAATGCCAGAAGTTTCGTGCTGAAACTGAATTTTAGGATCGTTATTCCAAATATACTTTTCTTGCTCATCCTGGTCACTAAAGATTTTTATTAGCATATCGATCCGATTTTTCTCTGAATTTAAATAACGGGAAATTTTATAATATGTTGTGACGAGCTGAGTCGATTTAGCCATGTCCGTCTGTATATATACTCAGTTTTCGAGATATCGATTTTAAATTTAGCATATAACCTTTTCTCACGAAGAAGCTGCTCATTTGTCGGAACCACCGATATCGAACCACTATAGCATATAGCTGCCGTACAAACTGAACGATCAAAATTAAGTTCTGAAGTATGGAAACCTTCTTATTTGTGAAGGGTATTATAGCTTTTAGTAGAATGCGCGAGAAGTTAAATAATACCGCACTTGTCGACAGTGCCGATGACCTCAACAGAGACACCCAAGAGATGCAATTATTGTTAGACAGGTTTCAAACTTTCAACCCAATATTTTTCAGTAATTCCAACGTAACCCGCTCTCTTTAATCCATGATCAACTTATCAGGTCCAAAAGCCTCGCAGATATTTTATGTATATATTTTATAGGGTTACAAACTTCGTGGCCAACTTAATAGACTTTGTTCAGGGTATAAAGAAGATAAAGATTTAATATGAAATAAGAATTATCTCATCTATATCACTATATGGTTCTTTGAGTTCATTTGTAAGCTTATTATAAGAAACGCATCAATTTAAACACACCTTGTTACCGATTTTATCTAAATCTAAAAATAAAAAATAAATATGAAGAACATACATACATATACTTGTATTCTAGAGTCCGGCATAGTTTTAATTGCAATCGAAGACATTTCTAAATTATTAATTAATCAGTGTTATAAGTAGAACTGATTAACGGCGTTTAATTACAATAAAAATACTTACAAAAGAATTTAAAAAAATATATATTTATATATAATATATGTATGCACAACTGCGGCTCCTTCAGCGTAATCACTTTGCGCGCTTGGGAGTCAAATCTGATGCAGAGATAACGCGGCTTATTTTCTAGCCACTTTTTTCTTTATATACATACGTACATACATCATACACACACATAAATACATAGGTATATATATATAGATTAAAGTATTTGTGTCAAAACATCTAGTTTGAGTAATTTTACTTATGTGTTGCGTTTATTGGAGTAAATAATATTTTATTTACCTTTTTCCACGATTCCATTTAAATGAGCGCTGAATGAGAGATAAGGGCGCCTATAAGATGCCTGTGAACCCCGAAAATCAGCTTCATTCCCAGGCAATCGCTTGCTAGCAGTAGACAGTTTTGTGGTTTTTTTAAAAAAATAAATAAGATAAAAAGTTACATTTAAAAATAAATATAATAAATGTGTTGTTGATTCGACTTGTGGTTTCCTAAGCTTTGTGTTGAAAAAATACTGTGATAGTCGGCTGTGGTTTCAAAAAAAATCTATATAAAAGTTACAGTTACAAAAGTTGTATCACTAATTTTCAATCTACCGTGTTGTGTATAACATTTAAAGTTTGCGCGTTAGAAATTGAAAATTTTTTGGAACAAAACAAAATGGAATTGCCAGTGCCCGTGGAATTGAAGCAATCGCTCTATGTGCCGAATAAAACACTGATGGGACCCGGTCCCTCCAATTGCACACAACGTGTACTCGATTCGTTAAGTAATCCAGTTTTGGGACATATGCACCCAGAATGCTTCGAGGTATGTATACATATATTCGCATAAACGTTTTGAAACAAGTGATGTACAAATGTATAAACGATTTTTGAGAATACTTAGAAACCCGAGTGTTTTAGACCAAAATACACCCTAAATTTCGCGGACCTTAATTATTCTCTCTTATTACTGCTTCGTTTATCACAAAACGTCTTACGAAAGACGGATTTTCATTGCGTTCTCATAATACTCCCCTTCGCTCAAAACAATTTAATAAACACGTTTGTAAATAAATTTGTTGTAAATAAATAATATACATTTGTATGTATGTATAACAGCTGCAGCTATATAGTCATGTGGGCTGACAGACGATTTCGCTCCGCTTCATATAAAAAGTCTCTGATAACTTAGCCGCCTATATCTGCTTGCCTCCAATGACTTTTGATCCCCATCTGTGTTGTTTAACAAGGCGTTTTCGTCGGAACCCATGTAGGAGTATACATATTCCGGTGCTGACCGATTGGTTTTCAATAACGGCAAAGATGAAAACAAAATAATATAAACAAAAAAATCTTAATGACTCCAGCAATCTGCTTGCTCAGTACAAAGTCTGAAGATATGCTTGGGTTACTTAAATGCTGAATCGTTTCCCCTGGTGAATGGATTGAACCTATTATTTGACTGCTGTTTTCAGCTCAACGCATAAGTCACGACTTCCTTTTTTGAAGTTGTGTTAAGAGTAGTTCTACTGATGTGCATCTCGTGCATATCGCTTTTTTACTGAGCCGTTTTATGTTGTTACCTATATAATATTTTGGAAGCACCAGACAATTTTTTCTATATACATACAAATATGTTCACTTTGAAAGAACCGAGCTACTATTAACGAGGTAACGTTGGTGTATCTGAAGAGGAGCGGTCTAAAATTAAGATTAAGATCTTTTTATACCCTTGTATGTTTGTAGTCCTTGGTCGAAAAAAAATCCAGGTTAGTTCCGGTTACACAGTTAGTACCAGTCATACCAACTGGTATGAAAACGTAAGACTATACTCTTAGGCGTTGTTTTCAAGTTCATCGACTGGTATTTCCAGAAAGCTCTTATACCTTTGTACTTGCACTGTTTGATAAAATCGTAAAGAGAGATATCTATCAATATTCTATATAATTACGATTATTTCATTTCCCTACAGATCATGGACGATATTAAGGCTGGCGTCAAATATCTTTTCCAAACGAAAAACACTGCTACGATGTGCATTAGCGGCTCGGGACATGCCGGCATGGAGACAGCTTTTGTTAATCTTGTGGAGGATGGTGATGTTGTGCTACTCGCCTGCACCGGTTTGTGGGGATATCGTGCCGCCGAAATGGTTAAACGTTTAAATGGTGATGTACGCTATGTGGAATCACGTTTTGGTCACGCATTGTCACTAAAAGAAATCGAATTCGCCTTTGAGGGACACAAACCACAAGTTTTCTTCATTGCGCAAGGCGATTCCTCGACTGGCATATTGCAGCCACAACTGAAGGAAATCGGTGAGCTTTGTGAAAAATACAATTGCCTTTTCGTGGTTGATACGGTCGCCTCACTGGGAGGCGTCGAATTCCTAATGGATGCCTGGAAAGTTGATATGACCTACACGGGTTCACAAAAGGTGCTTGGTGCACCAGCCGGCATCACACCGGTATCATTCAGTGATCGTGCCATTGCACGTATAAGAGCACGCAAATCCTATGTGAAGTCATACTATTTTGATGCGCTGCTCGTTGGACAATATTGGAACTGTTTCGACACGCCACGCATATATCATCACACCATTTCCTCTACGCTCTTATATGGACTGCGCGAGGCATTGGCACAATTTTGTGCTTTGGGTCGCAAAAATGTGATACATCGCCATCAGGAGTGCTCACATCGGCTGCAGTGTGGTGTGGAGGAGATCGGGTTGGAAATGTTTGTAACGAAAGCCAATGATCGTTTGCCCACCGTAAACACCATCAAGGTGCCAGCGGGTGTGGAGTGGCAAAAAGTGTCTCAATACGCGATGAGAAAGTGAGTGCGGTACTCCCAGATATGAAAAATCTGAATTAATTTTTATAACTTTCACAATTTTTAGATACAAATTGGAAATAAGCGGTGGCTTAGGACCCACAGCCGAACAGGTTTTCCGTATTGGACTGATGGGCACGAATGCCACTTGCGAACGCGTCGATTTAGTGCTCAATATTTTGCACGAAGCCATACAAAGCTCAAAATTAGGTGAAAAATCCAAGATTTAATAGAAATATTAACTTTTTATTTACTATATATTCACCCACATTCATATATGCAGCATTTCTATTAGCTTTGGTTGTCCATCAATTTTGTTACTCTCACATACAGATCTTTTGTAATACTCATGCATATAGTTATAGTTATAAAGTAAATTAAAAATACTTGAAAACAAATTTAAAAACTCTTTCATTTGATTAAAGCACAAATATTTGTATACATCGAGTCTAACTGATAGACGTTTTAGCTCTGCTTCGAACTGTGGATCCACATACTTTTTGTGATGTGGGCATCTCAAGATTGTCCACTTTAAAAATAGCAGGACCTTCTTAATTTTGTTAGGTAATACGACTAATGAAGGGTTGGAGACCAACCAAGAGTATTCTCTAACTTTCCGGTTGTGAGAACTTAGGAGTCTCATTAGATTTGTTTGGTTAGGTTTTATTAAGATCAATGTTCTTTTTCTATCTGAACACAGCTAAAAATCAGCATAGCTTCCAAAGAGAACTCAGCAGCATCGTAGTAAATATATGATAATGTGGACGTCATCATCGTCTTAGATCGGTATTTACATACTGCCATAGAACGGATGACAGATTAAAGTAAACGCCTATTTCTCGGAATTTTTTCTCAGTAAGCAACCTACATAAATCAAATATTAAATCTTGAATAAATACTTTGACCAACTAGACGACAAAGTACATAAATACTGAGTGTGACATTGAATGCATTCACATTGAAGCATCTATGAAATCCACCATTCATTCGAGTGTCCGCGAATCACTTCCAATGTATGGTGTCATGTTATTCAAATTCCGTTCCCATTTCGTAGATCCGACTATCGCCATATGTTCTCTTTTTTCTCCCTGAACAGGGTATATTAAGTTTGCAACGAAGTTTGTAACACCCAGAACGAAACTTTGGAAACCCTATAATACAAACCCTACATATGTAGATATAACTGATCAGAGTGGTGAGTTGAGTCGATTTATTAATGTCCGTTTGTCTGTCTGTGTATATTGATTTGAAATTTTGCACACGTCCTTTTCTCGGCAAGAAGCTGCTCATTTGTCGGAAGCTCCGATATCGGACCACTATAGCGTATAGCTGCCATACAAACTGAACGATCAAAACCAAGATCTTGTATGGAAAACTTATTTATTTGACAACATATTTGCAATAAATCTTGCACAGATTATCCATTCAAACTCAAGTCTTTGAAAGGAGAATTTTTTTTATTTAACAAGGTACCTTTACGAAATCTTCCAGGGTTTATTGTTGTTGTAGTGGCAGAATTCTGCCGAGTTGATAGTTCTTGGCCGGATAAAAATCCGGGTACGTTCCAGTTACGTAGACCCGACTGTCGTAGAAACGGGAAGGCTTTATTGTTATTGTTGTTGTTGTAGCGGCAGAAAACATTCCTGAAGTAATTTCGAGGAATGGTGCCGAGTTGACAGTCCTTGGCCGGATAAAAATCCGATTTGACCCGACTGTCGTAGGAACGGAAGGGTTTATTGTCGAAAGCATCGCTATATTCTTCGAACAAATTGTGTGTCCTTACACTCTGGGAAAATTTAGAGGTCAAATTGTTCACACTATAACGATTAATGTTTCTGAGGTTGTCTTTGTCCTTTATAAAAACATATATCACATTGAATGTATTGTATATTGTTACCAAAAATGAAAAAACTGGTTCATATATACCAAACTACCGATACTGATTTTACCTGTCCGGCTGACTTAAAGGTAATTTTTTAAAATATGAGAATAAAATTAAAATCACATCAAAACCTACAGTTCAGAATAAAGCGAAATGTGAACACATAATAAAAAAAATTGAGAGGCATGAATGCTTTAGATGTCATATTATCCATGGACAACATATTTTTTGGTAGCTTTCTCAGAAATAATACTGTTACAACCTCATAAATGCAGTGGATTAAAAATATTTTTCCCTTTTTTGTAAATTACTTTAACACAAGATAAATTTCCATTTAAAATTTTTTTATAAAAATTAGTTGAATGTTTTTATTGTTAAACATACATAAGTAATAATACGCCGTTATAAACTTAGGTGTTCGTATCTTTAATATAGTGGGATATGCAAATGTTGCCTTGATGCATGTAGCAAGCAAGTTCGAACATATTAAAGAGCTACATTGCGCATCAATAACAATACAATTTAATATAGTATATGAATGTATAAAAATTAGTTCACAAAAAATTCTCGAATTGGCAGCATATGTATGTTCATATGCATGCGGAATACTTTCGGTTTCATATAAATATTTACTTTTTAATTTAATTTACTTTGTTTTTAATTTCTTGTTAATAAGCGATTTTATTTAATTATTATTGAAACAGGTAGGCATGTAAAGGGAATTATAAACTTGTTCATTATATATATATATTACTTTTAATTACTTAAATGCAGGCCACTATTACAACAACGACACTTTCACTTAACCATTCATGACCATACGCACAAATTCTTCATAATTCACATTGCCCTGTGTATCCTCTTGGTTGGTCATTAGCTGTTCGACCTCTTCATCGGTCAGTTTCTCACCTAATGTGGTTAGTAAATGTCTCAGTTCAGCTGATGAAATGAAACCGCTGGCATCCTTGTCGAAATGACGGAGACCTTCAATAAAATCGTCAGCAGTGTCACCAGAACGCGCCTTTGAAATCGCCTGGTAGATGGGTAGAAAAACTTCGAAGCTAATGCGTTCATCCGGCTTCAATTGATGTGTGCACTTCTTCACATCCGATTCGGTGGGGTTTTGACCGAGCGCACGCAGGCACTCACCCACTTGACTCAATTGAATTTTGCCATCACCACGATTGTCGAAGAGATTGAAGGCTTCTTGGAATTCTACAAACAAAAATACAAAATTTGCTTTTATAATTTAATTTAAATGTAAAATTATGAAGGGCAAAACGTAAAATTTCTCCAACCCAACCTTCCACAGTGGTAAACGAGTTTTTAGTTGGTGGCTCGTAGATATACATTGTAAATAGTGGCAACAAGAAACCAAACACAATTTAATTATTATATATAACACTAAATCGATTTGTTAGGTATAATCAATAAAACTTTGCAATATCAAAGCAATGTGTTGCATGATATGCCAACCGACGACTGAATTGCGCAAAAGTGGTTTAGTGATGTGCCACCGCAAAAGTATTGAAGGTGAACTTGCGCGCTTGTGTATAGGCTGACTGCTGTTGAATGCACAGAATAAAAGTAACGTGCAATACCAAAAAATAAATTCGTATAGTATATATGTACATATGTATGTATTATATATATATATATATATATTTTTTTTTTTTTTTTGAAAAACAATACTGTTTTTGACTATTAATGTGCGCGTTCATATGTTAGAACTTGACTTTAAGTGTACATAAACACCCTGTATTGGTATTTACTATCAATGTAGTTTTGAAATTTCATCCTTATAAGGTAAGACATGTTTTTTCAACGTACAATGCCTTTTTAGTTGCACAGTGCACTCATTTATCCCTACAATTGTCGTCATAAATGTTGTAACTGCCTTAAAAGTGGTGCGGAAAAATTGGAAGAAGAGACACTTGTATTATACACAAAGTTCATAAGGCGACTAAATCTGCTTTCAAATATAGTGCAAAATTATTTTGAATCAAATTTAATAACATATTTAGAAAGGTATATGTGTATCTCAGCAACACGCGAACCATACGCGGTATACATGAAAATATGATTTAAGAAGAAAAACTGTATTTAAATGTGCAATATTTTGGTATGTACATTTGACCATTTTCTGATTCAAATCTTTGGGTATTACCACTACTACCTTTAGCATTATAAAGCCTATGCACGTATTCTTTTATCTCACAGTCTACTTATTTCTGTTTTATTGGGCCAATAAATATGCGATTATGAGCAGCGGTAAAAGTATTGATAAACAAAAGTATTTAACTGCAATGAAAAAAATTATTTGTGCCAAAACCAAATATGAAAATTGTAGAAAACTTCGATCAGCAAACAAGTAAGATCACAACTTATTTAATTTTGTATAATCCATATGTTTTCATAATTTGTAGGTAGTCTTATGTGTTATTTTGCAAACATTTTTTAGGTGCTTGCAGTATAAATTGTTAATATCGACCATAAAATCAACAAGCGCAATATATATTGCGTTTGAAATTTCCCAATATGGTAAAGAAACTGCCATACCTCCACATAAATAATATGACGCTGATATAAATAGCCAGTTTAGAGCAATTCAATTTCATTTCAACTTTAGCAGTATACGTAGAATGCTAAAAGTTCTTCAACATACACTAATAAATGATAACTTCTTCCAGCTACCGAAATAAAATTTCTGTCAAAGCGGCTGTACTGAATGTACTTGGGTGGAATAGTAGTGTTCAAAACTTTATACACATTCTTCATACACTTAAACCAATAATCGCAAAATGGTGTTCATTTATTGATGGAGTCATCGTTTGCATTTACTGTCGCACGAACGCTACGTCAATATACCGCAGTGATATCTTTTCATTTTCTTTTTGTTTGTGTTGTGCTTTTTAAGTATTTTAGTATGTAAAACGGTTACTTGATCAAGGTGCAATGAGTCATCCGCTTGCCGCAAGAAATATGGAGCTCGAGAAACAGCGATTATTCATCTTAATCTGTATATATCTCAAAAGCTTAAACCTTTGCAATGCTTTATTAAGGACTGTTTACAATTAACACCTTCAGCAAGGTACACTTTTAATACTTGAAACACACCCACTGCTATTCCGCACAATACCCATTCTAACATTAACTATTGCTCCTTGTTTTCGTGTTTTACTCACCAGCTAATTGATCCTCGCTGAAGTTTGTCTGCAAAAGAAATATAATATATTAAATTGAATTAACTTTAGGCGTTTTAAATTTACCATTTTTGTGATTCTTTTAGTGAAGAAATTGGAAAGTCGAAAAAAACTTTAGAAAACTTACACACGTCAAAACGACTTCAAGTTCTTTTTTGGAATGTGTCAGCGACCGACTGTTGAAGTCGTTGCCAGCTTATGAAGAGAATGTAGCTGCCACCTAATTACGATTGATAAAATGAAGTTATTTCATCCGACCATATTTGCATACACAATTTCAATTATAATTAACAGTGTACACTGAAAAAAAATGCGTATTTGTTAACTGAAATTTTTAAATGATCAAATATTTTGCATTTTTATTTAAGATTATATTAAGAAGTGTGGTATTGGGTTTTTTACTTTCTTTGTTCCTTAAAACAGATAAATATTGGGCGTATACAGTTCACTAGTTTGTTTATAGATAGTTTTATATATATTTTTCACAACCTGGCAAGTGAAATTAATACAGGATCTGTTATAGTAAACTGCTTTTTATATAATTTAATAAAAATTTAGTACAAAATTAATATTAGAATTTCAAAGGCATAATCTTCCAGAGAATATCGTCGTTAACTCAAATAAATTTTGATTTTTATTTACGTTTATTGGCGCCTTAAGAAAACATTACGTCACTGACATATTGTTCGTTAAACATTGCGTTAATTTTGTTAAACGCATACAACCCTGTAAATATGCAAAACAAAAAGGAATCCACCAAAAATATTTGCAACAAGAAAGATAAAGAAAATAAAGAGGATAAAAAAGAAAACAAAATAGAATTGCAAGCAGCTGTGAGCGGACAAACAAGTCATTCGACCAGGAACAAATGCAATACGACCAACTACGCATAACGATAACGACTTCATGAATACCAGAAACTGCTTTTAACATAGTGCATTCGTGTTTGTTTGTGGTTCTGCGCGAAAATACCGCATTCGTATATGTATATTCTGTAGTTCTGTATTTCGTCGGACAACTTTCAATTGGAAGACACAAGATAAAGCAAAAGAAAATTACAAAAACAAAGAAGTAGCGGAATTTTGTATTTTGTTCACCGCAATTGCTTGGTCGCTTGGTTCAGTTCGAAAGCAATTCAATTCGCTGTCACTCGTCGTCGACGACAATCGTTCGCTATTAGTTATACAAGCTCCGCAATAATTCTGCGCGCAGAAGATCAGCAGGGAGTTGAATATAATGGAATAAACTACATATAAAAAATCAAATCTAATTGGAAAAATTTTCTTGAAAATTCTTTGGAAAGAATATTTGCTGTTATACGGTAGTGTGTCAATGTTTACAAGTTGTGTTAGTGTGTGTAGAAATTAATGAAAATTCGATGACAAGTATTAAATCGGAAAGAGCTTTTGTGGCAGAGGAAAATTTAGAAGCGCAAATTGGCAAAATATATTGACGCGAATGTGTTAATTGCGTTCGTCAGTGTGTTTTTGAGTGCGTACTTGCAATTCGCGGATGCTTGTGTAGGTGTGCATTGCAGTTGATTCTTATTACTGAACGAATTTTAACAGCAGACAAATAAGTTACGGAAGTGCAAAAAATATATGTTTTTATATATGTATAAGTATTTCATAAATACAAAATTGTGGAAATTCATCCCAGTAAAAAATTGGCATTGGAAGATTTTGACGTTGCTGTAGGCAGCAAAGAAAAGTGCAATAACTGAGATTGCAAGGCAGGAAAATCAATCAAGAAATTTCAGTGTATGTTAAATACAATGTTACAATAACTAAGTGCATTGTAAAACAGTATATTAAAGCAAAAAATGTTGCAATGTTAAGAAAATATTTAAGTTTGTGAAAAAGCAAGCAGGAAAAAAATCCAATCCGATGATAACGAAGAGCATAAAGTTGAATATTCTTGCATTTTGCATATTCTGCTATTCGCAATTTAGCAGCTGATAAAAATTCAAAAGTGGTGACAGTAAACAAATAAATAAAAAAATTGTTGTGATTGTGAAAATCTTATCAAATTTTCATAAAACTACTGCAAATCTTTTTGATTCAACAAAGAGCTACTTAACATTGCAGCAAAAAGGCAGATTTTGATAGGTACGTTAAAGGATATTGGAATGCAAATTTCGATTGTAACTATCCATCGAAAACGGTCCAATAAGAGTGTAGTTCAAGTATATTCATAAAAAATTATGAGCACTTACGTAAATATACATCTGTACATATGACTGATACGGAAAGGTCGTCACGGTAAATTTTTTAACTACGCATTTCGCTCGAGAGAAAGCAGTGAAACAAAACAAAGAAAGATAAGGCAATAAAAAAGTGGCCTGAAAATATAACAGCTATCGTGTGACAAGTATTGTGCTCATAATTAATTACTTTCTAGTTGCATCGTTTTATCTGCTGGTAAAATAGCACAAAACAAAAAGATTATATCGGAAAAACACACAATTATTAAATACTCTGTTTAAATTTAAATACTTTTTGTTTGACAACGAGTTGATAACGTCAATTATTATCAGAGTGTAATATTATCCGTGTTATTGTGCCCGTGGCGTTGAGGGGCTTAGTGGTGGCTTCGTGCTTATTTTATACGCTTAGGTAGCAACAAATCCATAGTGCGCACTACAAATTGAACATAAAGTTGCAAAGATGACCAACAATGCTACCAATTCCGCATCTCGATTTCGCTCACAACGCAACGACGTAAGTTATAATTTTTACAATACATAAAATATGTTTTCAAACACATATTCTTAAATACCATATGCAAATGAATGCATTGATTTATTTTTAATTTAGCATAACTGTACATATTTATACTGTACATTATCTTTTTTCATTGTAAAATCATTCACTATTCCCTTTACCTTTGAATATTATTTTCAGAAGACCTTTATTGCCACACATTTTAAACTATCAAGTTAAATTTGTTTTAAACTAATTTTTGACTTTGAATTAATTTTCTTCATTCAAACTGTGAATCGAATCATTTATTTCCAAGATTGGTACAACCTGTTTTATGTTCGTCTAAAGTTTGATCTACATTCATATGTATGTATGTCAATTAGTGCGTATTTGACAGCTGTTTGTTTACGACGCGAACAGTTTGTATTGATATAGTATGTAATTATATCCACTAAAACAAATCAAAATTTTAACTAAAAATATAAAATCTAAAGTCCATTTTTGGTTGGATCCACAATAAAATTGTTTATGTTTTAGTCTGACCTGATCATTTATAAATTACTTTTTTTGCCTCTTATACGAATTTCGTCGGCTTCGTAACAGATTGCTTACAGATCTAATAAGATTAGTTTACTTATTTTTAGACTCCGATTAGTCTCATGTATAATCACGCCATATTCAAGCCCACGTTTATCTTTTCTCTTGCTTTTTATATTTCGTTCTACAGAAGTGACGTTTTGAATGAAAGTTTAACGGAGTATGACAGTTATTCAATCATTTCTTCTTTATTCTTAATATAAATTGTATCGTCTATAAAATTTTTGTTTATAATAATAAATTTGGTCTCAACAATTGAAGGCCTTAAGTGCACAGACATAACAGGCTCTTCTCCCGAGGGTCGACATTACTAAAAGGGTAGACATCACAAAGAAAGGGTAAATAGAGTAACTCCATGCTAGTCCTACTACTGAGAGACAACACTACTAATTGGTACACTGACGGCTCAAAACCGTCCGAAAGCATTAGTGCAGGCATCACAGGACCGCGTATAAAACTTTCCTTACCTATGGGACGCACCTCCTCTGGGGGACGTGTCATAAATGGACAGCCGGGAACGAACTAGCTGACGAGCCTGCCTGCTCTGCAGCTGCTTCCAAGACGGTAGGTCGAGAATCCTGCATTGCGGTGGGTTCCCATACCAAAAATGAGCTGGCCCGCAAAGAGAGAATGGGTAGGGAAAGATATTGGCAACAATTTAAAGGCATGCGGCAGACAAAGTTGCCTATGGGTGGCTACAACCTCACTGGGTTCAAAAGTATAATATACCGCCCCAGAGACGAATTCGAGGAATTTTACACTAGGCATTGCAGACTCAAGAAGCACTTGTTTAACTGGGGTATAGCCTCTTCTGGTTTTGCGACATAGAACGGGAAACTTCTAAACACCTGATTTTAGACTGTACAACAGTCTGTAGACGCGGGATCTAGATCCTTGGATCTATATATCCAAATAGGGTTCACATCGCCTCGATAGCGCCCAGAAAGTTCCTGGAAGTAATCAGACTTCCGGACCTATGTCAGTCTGAGTGACGCAAAGAAGAGCACAAAACATCTTAGGTCGCATTGCAAACCTCAATTTATTTCCATTTATCTGTATATAACAATAATAATTTTTTTTAAATATTGCAATTCAAATTACAAACTTAAAAACCCAACACAATTCATATAGATAGAATATAGATAATGAGCTGCCGACGTCATGAGATTAGAAGCGATCAGCTATGGACAGACAGTTAATATTATTCCAATAGAAGGAAGATTAAACACTTTTTTTAAGTATCTCCCATCAACGATATCGAAGAAACAATCTCCTTTACCCCAACACAATACATACATATATCCCGTAGGCAGTGGGTCACACTAACATCAAAACCCACTCATATGACCCCAGTAATAAAATTCCCCAATTGCTCAAATAAGATTGATTGATTTTTCTTTCCCGATAAGACTATTTTACTTCGTATACGAAAGAATAGAGATAAAACTTAGACCACTACTTCGGAACGCATAGCAGGTTGTGTAAAAAACTCTTGAATGTTGATAAACATTTATTCACAAGTTACATATGTACGGGGTCGATACACTATTTACTCATTCAGAATTGCTCATTGCTTCCTACTGGCAACCCGTTGCGTGCTCATTTGGCCCCCTTCAAATTGCATTGTGTGAAATCTGCAAACATTTTGTGGTCCATTTCCTAACGAATAATGCTTTTAATTGCATTGATTTATCTTTTTTCATCCTTTGTATACAAATTTAAAATTAATCTGGGCATTTTCACAGCAGCACATCGCACTCATACATTTTCTTATTGAAGTGAGCAACTGGAGCATCATGCAAATGCATAAATTTGTACTTAAGTATATATGTTTGTGTATATGAGTATGTATGCTGAAAGCAACACGCGAGTATAGAAATTGTGCGAAGCACTTCATTGCGTTCATACGAAGCGCGATCTTTTCAAATCTGTATGTAAGCGTATATCTTTCAATTTGCCAGTAAGTAGTGGATATTCTGCATTTGATGCTCCGTTGCTGTTGCTCCGGTTTTGGTTGACCTATACTGGTGTAATGGCGTGAACATGAGTGTGTTTGGCGTATATTGCTGTTGTTGTACGCCAATAAATGATAAGTGGGTGAGATGCTGACATATATGCCGCATATACATGTATGTGTAATTGTGTAAATTAACAACTAACAACCACCTACTCTTAATTGTAACATAATAAACAACTTATTTAAGGTGTTATTGACGCTAATTAATCGCATGGACTGCAGGAAATTGTGTGATTTTTATGCATATTATACATACTTTGATGTAGCCAGTATTGGTTAGTTAACCTACATTTTTGCTTTGTATGTATTGAACGTATTCTTAAATGAACGTCGATAAGAAAGTTAGTGGAGTTATTGCGGGGGTGAAAAATAACCTAAAAAAATCCGAAGCTGTTTCAAATATGCGACGAAAAATTAAGAAATCCTTTCTAAAATGTGCAAGTAGATTCAGGTTTCTAAGTACTAGTGAATTGCTATCTATCAACAGCAATCTAAATACTATGAAAATAATCTATTGTTCGTAAAGCGATCTGGCTGCTAAGATTTAAATACGATAGATAACTATTTGTCTATTTTAAAAGTATCATGGCAAGGAATAAAACTGCAATCTACCCGATTCCTTTATATTTATATTCCAAACAAGGTACTTTAAGTTTGCCGCGACGTTTGGAACACCGAAAGTAATCGTCAAAGACCCATAAAGTATACATATGTATAAATGATCAGTGGGGCGAGCTATAGCACAGCAGCATATAGCTGCAATACAGCTCGATCAATCAAACTCATGTTCTTGTATGGAAAACTGTTTAATTTGGAAGGGACCACGTAAATTGGACCAGATTATAACCTGTAATAATTATTATACAAGCTATCGCTACAATCTCCGAAGAAATTGTTCAGATCGGGCAACTATAGCATATAGCTGTCATACAAACCGACCGATCAAGTGTATTTGAAAAAAAAATGGTTTATAACTTTTTTTTTGTATCGATAGGTTATACTTTTAAAACTAACATACTAAAGTTTTAAATTGATATCTCAAAAATGTTTTTGTGTAACAGTCTCCTAAAGTGTAGCCGCCCACTTCAATCAGCTTCATCAGGTTACCTTTAAATGCGTTTTTCTCAAAAGTAAATTTTTCAAATTTGCTTGAGTGATTATCCGCGAAGAAATTATCTGATTACTATCTAATTTTTTCTTAATCTGTATATAGTTCTCCATACAATGACGTATCAGTTCTATGATCTGATCAAAAATCGAATTTTGGCGCCATTAATACGCCGCCATTTTGTAAATTATGGATTCTTTTTCCACCTTCTAGTATATAATACCTTCAAGTATATAATTTTTTTTAAGTTTCATCCACGGAAAAAGTCGGAACTACTGCAGCAGTGGTGGACCATGTTTTTTAGCGCCGTTGAAGATCGCGCGTATACAAATTTTTTTTTGTATATAATATTTCTAAAATATGTAACGGGTGATCCAAGTACCTACTTTTTTCAATAGCCTTTTTTCACAGATTACACTTGAGTCGTGTCAAACTGTCATGTTTTTTGTTCAGTAGTGTTTGACATTTCATCATGGAAAGACTTACACCTGAACAACGTTTATAAATCATTCAACTTTATTACGAAAATTCACGTTCTGTAAAGAATGTTTTTCGCGCGCTTCGCTAAACTTATGGTCAACATAATTGGCCTACTGAGCGTACTATTCGCAACACCATCACCCATCTTTAGATCCAGCATTCATTATTGGTTAATATTCGACCGACAGTATGCAGTGAAGAAAATATAGCGGGCGTAGCTAAGAGTGTACACGATGACCGTGGAGAGTCGATTCGCAGCAGCTCGGACTGACATATGGAACGACTTGGCGCATTTTACCTCGAGATCTTAAATTGAAAGTGTAAAAACACAGCTTGTGCAAGAACTGAAGAACTACCTTCCCAAGCGACATCGCTTCGTTCTATGAGTTCTTGAAAAGTTCCAAAAAGATCCCACATTTTTGAACCAAATTTTGTTCAGCGATGAGGCCCATTTGTGGTTCAACGGGTATGTACACAAGCAAAATTGCCACATTTGGGACGAAGAGCAACCTGAAAAGATTTAAAAGCTACCATTTCATCCAGAAAAAACAACGGTTTTTTATGGTTTGTAGGACGGTGGAATCATCGGTCCGTATATCTTTAAAAAATGATGCCGTTGAGAACGTAACCGTCAATGGCGAAAGTTATCGCGCCATGATAACCGACTATTTGATGCCTGAAATTGAAGCTCGTGATCTCAGCGATATTTGGTTTTAACAAGACGCCACTTCCCACACATCGCATCAGTTAATGAATTTATTGAGAAAACACTACGGTGAGCAGATAATTTCACGTTTTAGGCCGGTCGATTGGCCA